TGCACTGCCTACATGAATTAAAGGCTGAAAACTACTAAGCCAGAAAGCTAAGCTTAACCTGACAAAATATTTAAATACATTAATGCCTCTTTTTATCTTGTCACTTTTATTGCCAGCAAAGTATCAACCACAGGTTCTGAAAGATCCTTTTATGGCCATCTTGCTAATCACTGTCCACACAGATAGTAAAAAGGGGGTTCCTTGGCAACAGCTACTACCTGTAGCTGTACCCCTGCAGATAAAGACAGGACTTCCCCAAGACTGCAGGAAGGGTTATCCAAATGACTGAGACCTCAGATTTAATGCGCAAAGAAACCACAGATACTGACTGAATTCAAGCAGAGTGAGGGTAAGGATATTGCACAGTACTACAAACACATAGTGTCTGCCCTACTTCACTGTTTGTAAGTTTGCTGGAGTGCTCTAACCACTTCTTAGCTTGATTTTAGAAACTGTAATCCTAACAAATTTTTTTTTTTAAATGGTTAAAAGTTGAGATGCAATAGAAGAAAACCAACTGTAAAGAAGATTTAAGTCCCCAGCTATTAAGAGAAATGTAAAGTTTTATCTTTTGCTGCATTTCCAACTTCTGATTGGCAATGTACCCAGGGAAGCACTGGGGCTGACAACAAGTATCTGTGAAAGCTCCACTGCAAAACTGAAGCTTTCATAACTTAAAAAAAACCAAACCAAACCAAACCCATAAAAACTAAGAGCAAACATCACTACCTACCTACCAAAACCTGACACTCCTCAGGCTTGAATATTTATCTTGCAAAAATAAAGCACCATTGTCTCAGTTGCTGCTGGAGATAAGACACCTGAGGGCATGAACTCAGGTAACTGGAAAGTTCAAACACAAGTGAATGCTGCCTTTTGAGGATACATACAAAACAATTTCATAAAGCTTAACCAAAGAGGATCTAATACAAAAATCTCATACGATGAGATCCTCTCAACAGACCTGTGAGGTTTGTGCTTGTAGCCTCTGGAAAGAACAAAAAACCAAAACCACCCATATAACTAGCAATAGGATCAAACTCAGTTCTAAAGTAGCCACATTCAACTTCAATGGGAGTCACATCCGCATGGTTTGTGATCACATTTTTCATACAGCTACTTGAGTGAATTGCCAGGGAATACCAGATGCCCTCATTCCCAGCTAAGATGCTAAAAACATACTAGTTAATACTTCTAAGCAAAATTTGCAGTAAGTTCCTCATTCATATACCAGTATTCCACTTTTTTCATTCCCACAAAGCTTCAATAGCAGAACTGAGCCTGGTTTTGACATTATTTCAACATGTCCACCAGTGACATCAATACTACTGCTACAGGTGGGGATCAATTTTCCAACTAGCTTTTGCCTTCTAGCAATGCAAGTGTTTCCAGGAAGGGTTTTCACTGTAGCAGACAGAAGTGAAACATCTTCAGGGTATGCTGAAAGACTGTGAAAGCAGACAGCTCGAAACAGATTTGGGACCCTAAGGATGTATGCGAAATGGGTGAAAGAAGGAAAAGAACAGAATATCTCCAACTGAAAAAAAAAAAAAGAAAGAAAAAGAAAGGATTCATAATTTGTAGCTAGAATGGCAGTGTTCAGGTTATTTTTATTTTCTCAGTGCAGTATTTCTCAGTTTGGCTTCTGAGAGGTCCTTTTTTCCCCTTCTTTTATGGTTTCATTTTTAAGTACTTCTAAACACTGCATTTAGGTAAAAAGACACATGAATTGTATTTTGGACAATTACAGGCGGTGTGACCTCCATGAAGATGATGTTTGTCATCTCCCATTTTCTGCTGCAATTCCTTAGCCTCTGAGCATACAATGTCCAAGACATGTTATTCTTCAACATCAAAAGCTGTCATCCAGGAAGGGCAAGTAATAGAGTGTGAATTCCTGAACACTGACCTCTTTCCAGTTAAGTAGTTCACAGGACACAAAACGCAGCAATGACATTTTTACTTTATAGGTAGCTCTGCTAAAACCATGAGAACTGTTCAGCATTCAAAATACAGTCAAACCTGTCTTCAAGGCAGTAGACCTACAAACACTTGCAGAGAAGATTCTGCAGAAGGAAAATCTCTTTCTAACCGTCAGCTGCAGGCTTTTTGGGCTGGGCCAGACCCTTCTGCCTAACTCAGTATATTTGTTCTACATAAAGAATGGTAGAAATGGCCTCAAACATTCGTGGGAGCATCCCTGCTAGTCTCCCCACTTTTATAATGGTGATGGATGCACACCATTCAGAAAGGATTATTGATCTATATTCCCTTACGTAATTTATGTATTGGATTTCTAGGAAGTTGTGTTAAATGACACGGGAATTACAATTAACACACACAGGACTCTGCTGCCAGATCCTGTGCTCCAGAGGTAGAACAATATTCAGACAAAGACACTTATGAGCAGTACATTTACTCACCTCAAAGACTTGGACTCTGAGACCAAGAAGGGGAGAGAATCGCAGTCCCACCCATAACAACCATTACTATTAACCTTCAATACGTTGAAGCTGAGAGGAAAATATTAAGCAGTTTTGCCTACTATTTTTCATGCACACAGCAAATCTTCAACCATACTCACCGGTGCGAGAGTCTTGTCAGAGGATCTGTCATAACCTAATTACATCGGCTGGCACTGTTATGTCTAGCATCCTAAACAAAACTACACTTGTATCAGCAGCTCATAACCTATCTCAAGAAGCAGGACCAGCCTAAATTATACACAGGAATAACTTAACCATTATGTTTATTTAAATGCTGTAATGTTTTTAAAATAACATGTTTAATGTGAGGTGTCCCTCCCCTTGGCAGGGGGGGTGGAACTAGATGATCTTAAGGTCCTTTCCAACCCTAACTATTCTATGATTCTACGATTCTATGTTGTTTCCCTTTCTCTAGTTTCTTCTTTAATACTTTTATTGTTTTCACATAGGTTTTTACTTCCTGTTACATCTCCAATCTTACTGTATTTTTTGCTTCTCCTGTTACTTATTTTCTAATGAATACATGTACTAGCTTCTGGTTTTTTTTTTTTCTATTTATTTCCTTCAGTTTCCAAATGTGTCTTTTACTTCTTCTTGCCTAAAACATTTTTTCTTTACAAGTAGAAAAAACAAGAAAGCTGTTGATGGTTTAGTCTGCTTTCTCACAATTAAATGTTATGCAGGGATTTTTCAGGTTACTCCTTCTCCCTCTTATTGCAATTCTGCAGTTTTTTAGGAACACAAGATCCCCAAACCTCTCTCTCCATCCATTCCTCTTTCCTTCCCTCCCTGGGCTATTTACCCCAGAAACAGTCACATAACTCTTAGATCTGCCAGATGCCATTTTGCATGAGAAGAAAAATGGGATTGCAAACACATACATAAACACAAACCAAAGATCAGGACACAAAGCGTGGCAGGCTTGACTCATGGCCTGCAAGTAACCTGTTATCTGGAAAAAACACCTGTACTTCACAGAAGGCTGCTGTCTTCACATGAATGATGTGCATAAAACATTAAAACTCAGTACAGAGCCTTCTGCTCTGCAGCTCAGGCTGCTTGGATAGAGGCTCCTGGGCAGGACAGTCCCCACACACATCATGAATGACAGCAGCACGCTGGTAGTCTCAAACTACCAACTGCTTGCCCATCAGCACATGACTAATGATGCAATTTGAAATGGAACTGGTACCAAAGGCCAAACAACAGCTATCTGGGCTACCTCATCCATTTTCATCAAGGCCTCCTTTGTGTCACCTTAAGGTTAAGAGATCTGCACGATTTATTGCACTTATATAAAAAAAAACAAAACAAAAAAAAACCCTGGACTAAAATCTATCACACACTCCTTAGGCAAGTTGTGTGGCACTACTGAATGTTGTAACGCACATCATAACACGCACTTCTGAAAGCTGGCTCTTTCCTAAGGCTTTCCACCACCCCAGAGGCATGAACAGGCCTAGCCTGTGCTCTTCCAGCTACTACTGGGGAGCGGAGTCCTCCCCAAGCACGCACCATTCACCTGTCACCGGGCAGAAAACCAGCTGCGGGAGCAGCGGAGCCTGCCACAGCCGCGGGACCCCCCACCCCAGCCCGGACAGGCTGAGTATGTGCCAGCCCCACGGCCCTCAGGCTGGGAAGGGGTCCCTGCCTCCCGTGTCCTGTTCGACAGACACCAGGTCCGACTCCACAGACACCCCATACCTTTCACAGCTGGCAAAGGCAGCGCCTCCTCCTACCCCAGCATCGGGACTTCACACGTTTCCCAAGGGCGGGGGTAAAAACAGAGGGGTCCCAGCCAAGAGCACGGGACAAAGCTGTGGTCTGACCGGCAGCGGATGAGCCGAAACAGCGCGCAACCCCTAGCCCACAAGCCGGGCTCCGGCGCGTACCTAGGCTGAACAGGCGTAAACTTTTCCCGTTCCGGAGGAGGAAGGGTGGGCTCTCCCTCACCCACACCGGCAGGTACAGACAACAGGCGCCCACCGGCTTCCTTGCCCGACCCGCGAGGAACCTCTCCCTGGAGCCGCCGGGCATCAGGCCTGTCCCTGCGGCCCGGCCCGGCTCCGCCCCGCGTTAGCGGGCCTCCCTCACAGGGCCCTCTCCCCGGCTTACCGGTCCCTCCAGTGCCGCCCCTCGCAGCCTCGGCCCCCAGCGGCGCGGCGCCGCTCCCGCTGGGGGCCGCCTCACTCGGCGGCGCGGCCGGCCCGCTCAAGTGCGCCGGCTTGTCGCTGCTGCTGCCGCCGCTGCTGCTGCATCCCCGCCCCCCGCGTGCGGGCGGTGGCAGCGACAGCTCCTCCCCAGCCCCGCTCAACCTCGCCTGCCGCTGCCCGACTCGGCCGCCACTGCCGCTTCCACTTCCTCCCGGCGCGGAGTGGCTTCGGCCTCGGTCGCGCCGCCAGCCCCGCTGCAGGGAAAGCGAGAAAGGTGGAGGCCGCAGCCGGGACGGCTCCCCTCGGCTCCGAGGAGGCGGAGCGCCGCACCCGGCCGCCAGGAGGCGGGCTGGCGGGGGGGAGGGATGAGTGAAGAGCTGGCTGCTCGTCCCTGCGAGAGAGGGGTATCTCAGCCGCCGGGACCCCTGGCGGGGAGGAAGGCGCTTCCTGTGGTCGGCCTCAGCCCCCACCGCAGACCGAGGCCCCGGCCGCCCCGCCGCGTTCACTCCCAGCTTCCACAGAGTGCCTGGTGTTTCTCGGTATTAGGGCCGGTGTTAATATTTCCATTGATGATCTGGATGAGGAGATTGAGTGCACCTTCAGTCAATCTGCTGGCAACACCAAGTTTGCTGGGAGTGTTGATCCGCTGGAGAAAGCTAGATCTGCTGGAAAGCTCTGCAGAGGGATCTGGACACGGTCGATGGGCTGTGGCCAATAGTAAACAGCAAGGGAAAGTACCAGGTCCTGCACTTGGGTCACAACAGCCCCATGCAACGTTAGAGGCTTGGGAAGAATAGCTGGAAAAGGGCCTGGGAATGCTGATTGACACCACAGAGCGTGAGCCAGTGTGTGCCCAGGCAGCCAAGAAGACCAACAGCATCATGGCCTATATCAGCAATAGTGTAGCCAGCAGGGCCAAGGCAATGATCATCCCCCTGTACTCAGCACTGGGAGGTTGCATCTCGAATCCTGTGTCCAGTTCTCGGCTCCTCGCTACAAGAGAGACATTGAGGTGCTGGAGTGGGTCCAGAGAAGGACAGCAAAGAAGCTGGGGAAGGGTCTGGAGCAAAAGTCGTATGAGGAACGGCTGAGGGAACTGGGGGTATTTAGTCTGGAGAAAAGGAAGTTCAGGGGGGACCTTATCGCTCTACAACTATCTGAAAGGAGGTTGTAGTGAGGTAGGGGTCAGTCTCTTCTCCCAGTTAACAAGCAATAGGACAAGAGGTAACGGCCTCAGAGTGTGCCAGGGAGAGCTTAGACTGGGTATTAGGAAACAATTCTTCACCAGAAGGGTGATCAGGCATTAGAACAGGCTGCCCAGGGAAGTGGTGAAAAAACTGTCCCTGGAAGTGTTAATGAAACATGCAGACAAGGCCCTTAGTGACATGGTTTAGTGATGGACTTGGCAGTCCTGGGTTAAAGGTTGGACTTGATGCTCTGAAAGGTCTTTTCCAACCTATGATTCTCAGCAGGGCCCGCAGCCAGCATTCCCCCTGGACTCACGCACATAGATGCGTGTTTGGCGCTTTTTTATTGTTAAAAATATCTTTAATGGGTCCCTAACGCTTGTGTTTAAAAAAAAAAAAAAAAAAAAAAAAAAAAGGCTGAAAATGGGACTTCTGTACACCTGCAGGACTCCAGTACTCACAAATCCCATCAAAACTAGTGCTGGTAATAGGTCTATTTTTAATGGCTATTTAAACAACTCCTTGGCTGCAGGGGTGTGTTACAGTGCTGAGGTGGTGTTTCCTAAACTCTGCAGGAGCAAAGCTCTAGTGGTGGAGCAGGGCCCTCTGGACAGTGCCTGGAGGAGGTGTTTTACCAGAGTAAAGCCACCCCATTTTAAAGCTTGTTTAATACAACAGCGCTGGAGATGTGTCATCCAGTATGAAACCAGGTGATGCAAACACAAAGGATTTCATTTGACTCCAAAAGATGTGCTCCTGTTACCTGGCCCAGCACAAAAACTGTCCTATAGTATCTCCTTTCAGGTCTCGTCACTTGATTTTCCCAGTGGGAGCTGGTAAATTGAGTGGGGGGCACAGAAAAATGCTGTCTTTCAGGCAAAGAATCAGAATAAGCAGCACCCTGCAGACTTGTTGATCAGCTCAAACTAGTCATACAGGCATGCTGCATGAGCAGCCCTTCCATCTAGCCTTCATCTCTCCTTCCATCTCTGCATTTCTTCCCAAGTATGTTCTGTGCTTGGAAAGACCCACACAAACAAAGTAATTTTGAGCTCAGTGATGGGAGCAGCAAGAGTCCCGAAATCCACACAAGGAAGAAAACGTGGATTTTAAGGTTTTGGGGAATGATCCCTGAATCTTCAATGCTACACCGCATTGGCCCTCTCTGCAGTGGACTGTTGCAGTTCATGTTACACAGCACCCTGTTTTTCCTATGAGATCTTGTGTGGAGAACACAAGACAAAATTGCTAATTATGGGGTTGTGTGAATAAGTAAATACCTAAACAATGTACAGTCCCTTGAATCTGATTTGCCACAGAAGACTTGAACCCTAATAAAGTCTGTGAGGAGCAGAGGGACGCTTGCTACAGGATCAGAGCCAACAGTTCAAGACAGGACAAATTCAAAAGAGACAGAATTGGAGTAGCAGTTTCTATTTGTGTGTCTGGGTACCAATTAATGAAAATAATCTGATAAAAGTAGAGTTTAAAATGCTTTCACAGCTAAAAATTATATTTTAAATTTATTAGAGTCCAAGCGAACACTGATACAAGCAAGTTTAAACTAGTGACTCTTCTAGAACAACAGAGAAGAAATACAGGTTAGAACAGGCTACTTTAACTTAAATACCTCACTACTTCCCAGACTCTCATTTTATAGTCTGCATCACTATATGGAGCCTGAGACTCACTGACACACACACATGTAACTTGCATGTTTCCAATCCTGAGTCACAGGCAGTAGAACTCTGTGCTAGATTAAACGTCTCACTGAATGACTTAAGAGGCAACACACCTTCCTCCCCATTAAGAGGAGGATGTGTGAGCCATACTTTTCCAGAGCTGATTTCCAAAGTGTGCTGTGCTGGAGCCTGACCAGGAAAGCCCAAGGATGCTGTCTTTGGTACAGATTCTGTGGTCAGCCTAGGGAGCAGAACAGGCTACTGCAAATGCTTAACAACTGTGTGTTCAGTGCTACACTGACGGCTGCTAGCCAGCAGTGAAGGAGCAGAACCATATATTTCACTGGGAAGCAGTGGCCAAAACCCTGTAATCAGAAACCCAAGTTTCTGATTGCAGCTCTGCCTGACTCTATGTTTGTTTGTACCTTCTTCTGTCTGTGAAGTAGAAACAGCAGTAGTGATAGTTACCTTTTTGGCGAAGCACATTGGAAATCTGTGGCTGTCACCAGTTTGTGTCTTGCACAAGCTAGAAAGTTGCTTCTTTCTTCAGGGTTGAGAGTGAAGACCGCAATTGCAGCCACACACAGATTTATTAATAAGTGGCCTCCAGCTGTGGAACAGATTCCTGTCAGATTATTAGCCTCAGCTAAAGTATTTTAACTTTTCAAGTATGTTGTTACTGACATGTATAATAATAAAGTATAAAAGAAACTAATTTTCCAAACTAAGCACAGTTAATAAGCTTTGGTGTCCATAATTGGGCCTGAAAGTGTCTGACAAAGTTGAAGAATGTGTTGCACAGGCAACTATAGAGTTGGGTTATACAGTTGCTAGCTCAAGCCAACAGGATTCTTGCTACTAATAATTCTAAACTGTAGTGGGGTTTAGGGCTTTAACTAGGAGGCAAGACCAATGTTGAAGTCTGGTTTCCTTTTAATACTAAGCTTTTACACCGCCAGAGCAATATAAAGGACAATTGTGCTGGTAAAACATCATCTTCCTCTCTCTGGGATGTTCTAGAGTGACTGCAGCTTCATCAGAGATACACTGCTGAGACAAAGGCAAGTGATGCACCCATTTTTCTCTGAGGACATGGGCCTAAACTGCAAAATTTAATCTTAATAGCATGTTCAGTGTTTAAGTAATTAAAAAAGTTTTAATGTCCTAATAGACTCTTGTATATCTTTATTTCAGGTTTGATGTTTCTCCCTGAAGAATCTTACTTGCAAAAGATCAATATCTGCAGCTTGGCCAGTCAGGAAGACCAATTGTGTCACTGGCCACCTGAACTACAAGAGCACATTAAAGCATTTTAAGAAATAATTATGTCAGTGGCAGGCTGTCTTGTCTGCCCTCAGCATGAGTTAATTCTAAATAGCATTTAAACATACCAAATGTTTAAATGAGCCCCTGTCTTGGACAAGATAAGTAATCATCCAGTCTGCAGTTTGCATGTCAACACATCCAGCTTAATCGCACTGCAGGCACCCTCATTTTCCTTGACCTTCCAAGCTCATCCTCTTCAGGAGAAGCATAGGCTTGCACATATTGTTAAACTTACACTATGTTTATTTTTTGCTCTTTGCTATTATTCCAGGTTTTAATGCTATGCCAATTATTACGATTAGTCTTTGTAGCCCTCTTAATCATGCTTTGCCTCCATAAGAGCTGACCTTAAGACAAGTCACCTGTTCAGCATCAAGTACTTGGGAAAAAAAATCTTAATCAAACCAGCAGGTTTTTCTAGTGCAGTGCCATTATTACTGAAATCACAAGTCTGCTTCATGGCTGCATTTCTGACGCATGACTGATCACCAAAGGAGATGTCTTGTATTCATGTACCTTGTTTTGCAGAGGGTGTGATCTTCATCAACAGGTTCTGTCTCTTTCTGGAACTTGAGCAAGCTGGTTTAAATGTGGATCTGGTTGACACAAGATAAGACCATATAGAATACCTTGTGGCCTCTAGAGTCATTAAGAGACACTATGGCAATCAAAAAATTCAGGCTGAGGAATGCAGGGGTGTACAACTGCATATAGCTGCAGGATTTGCTAGCATGGTCTAAATATAATACATAAAGTATTACACATTTCCTGGATTATTTTTTATTTGAAATAACTTTAGCAAGGAGTGAGCTATAAAGTGCATGTCTGAAATAGCTGGTACATAGGAAAGACTGAGGTATGTGGAGGGACTGGGGGGGCTTAGAGCTAATATCTTTAGGTAAATCAGACTGGCTGTAGTAGGGGCAAGATCAGACCCATAAGCAGCAAATGAGACTTGTTTTCATTTGAATATTAATTTAACTTTTTATTTCAGGGTAGAAACAAGTTTTATCATACCATAAGTGCCTTGGAAATTGTTGAATGTGTATCATTACACCATTTGATTGCTTTCTGTGTAGGAGACAAGAAGTTTAGGCTGAGGTAAGTAAGCATGCCATTAGCTGAACCGTCTGGTCTACCTTATATTCTCAGACGTAATCTGTGGTAGTTTGAAAGGGGTTCAAAGCTTTGTGGGGTTCATTAACAGCGATGAGCTCAATGTGTTGCCAGGGCTGGGCTAGAGTATCTAAGAACTACATTTAATTATCAAATCAATGACAATTAAAATTGAACCTAATAATTCAAATTTAATTATATAGGTCATAAAATGAGTGCAGCCAACAAGCAAATTATCATGTCAATATAGCAAGATAAGTCAATTCTTTAAACAAAAATCAGAAATAACTGTTGAGTTTTAAGTCCCAGTTATGGGTGTTTTCCAAAGTAGAGAAATTGAGATGATTGACTGACTCAATTAGTATTCAAAACAAGTTCTTTTTCAAAGTAACCTGTAACCCTCTTTTAACCCTCTCTCCATAGCCTGCATGAGACAGCTAGATTTTCTTTCATTTCTGTGGCTAGCAAAGTCAAACGGGCAAGCAAGCAGCTGAGACTAAAATTCACCTGCTGCATCCACCAAGGGGCAAATTGGTTCCAGGCTATTTCCAGGTGACAAAATTGCTGTGACACTGCAGGTACAGTGCTCACTGTTGTATCTGTGACTTAGGCTCCAGCAAGGGTAAGCTGTACATGCCCTGCTGTGCTATGCCAGGAGTTGCAAGATCAGCAGTGCTCAGACACAGACCACCAAAGCGGCTCCGGGCACAGATAAAGAAGTGAGGCTGGTTTTTAAGTTTTTTTTTGTTGTAGATCACACTCTCAAAGAAACATATGGACAGCATGCTAAGCAGAAGACACAGTTCCTGACTGATCAGATACCAGTAGTGTTGCTGTAGCAAGGTTTGGGAGAGCTTTATTATCACCTTGTTAGAAAACTGAGCAGTTCTGGGACAAGCAGAAACACCTGAAAGAAGATTGAGGGGTAACTTGGGTCATGGGAGTGTGAGAAAAGAAAAAGAGAGATGGAGGGAGGCACAGAACACAGGTCCCATTTGCTGATGAATGCATGGAGGATCAGTGTTATTTGTATTATGTGCAAGAGCTTTTGCGGGGACACGGAGTGCTTCGAATAATTTATAACTTGCTGGTTGGGGCTGGCTCTTGGGACATGGCAGATGTGGTATCAGGAGGAATTTGAACATTAGTTTCCCATATCCCAGTAGCCCAATAATTAGCTAGGAACAGCACCACTCTTGTGAAGACAGGAAAAAAATGTTCATGTCAAAAGTTCTAGGGGATGTAAGTTTAGAAGGGTTATCCTAAAACAACAGGTATCAATCTGCAGGCAAGTCTGTGAGAGCTGGGACTTAGCTCTTGGCATGTCCTCCCAGCCAAGACAGTGCAAAGACAGCCTGTGTTCTGACCTTGGGGAGTCACTCCCCAGGGCCAGTGTCCTCCTGCATGGTGCAGCCCCTGTGCTTTGTTGCATGGTTCTCCAGGTGCACAGTCCTTAACCAAGAGTAATTTGGGAGCTATTTATGTCTGACTGTTTCTGATGAAAATCAAGATTGTCTGAAAGGTTCCATTTTAAAAATGAGTGTATTTTAATCAATTATGGCAACAACCACCAAATATGAGGGGTTGGGTAAATATAGAAAGTTTTATGATACAGCTTTCAGCCTCACTACAAGGAAAAGCCTGAAGAGTGTAAGAAAGATGCTTTCAACATTTAATATAAGGCTTTGTGTCGGAGAGAGCGACCGGAATCAAGAGAACGACTCAATATGAGTTATGCTTCTTGTTCATTTTATACAAATCCTTAACCCCTTATATACTATTTCTTACATGCACTTACAGTGATTTGGCATATTATGATTGGATACATGTCCTGAAGACCCTTAGTGACTAACATATAATTGGTTAAACACAGGTGTGAGGACTCGACCTCGAAAGCTTGCCAACAGTCCACAGTTCTCATTAACTCGGTGAATTCCAGCCTCTTATCTTGCTTGCTTAAGCTTCTTCGGGCCTCTCATGGTCTTTCTGTATCTTTCAGGATTATTCAGAGTTTATGTACCAATTATGCGTTCTCCTGTGAGAACACTGTCTCCACAGCTTTGATATCTCCTCAAGTATAAATGATGGTGTCCTGGGTTCAGCAGTAGCAGTCATTTTTCTCCTTCTTGGTAGCTGGTGCAGTGCTGTGTTTTGACTTTCAGCTCGGGAACCGAGTTGGTCATCAACCAACTTTTCTATTTATTCAGCTCATCCTAAGAGCAGTTGATGTTTTGGAACTGCGTGACCATCGACCGTTCATCAAACCAGACATGATAGATCAGACCATGAGAAGCGCCATGGCTTATGCTCAGGAATTTCTTCATGCAAAAAGGGAGAATGATTTTACATCTTCTTGCTATCTATTTAACTTAAATGAAAGCAGGTTAATGAGAAGAAGTCTGTTCACAATCTCACAGTTTTGAAGCACATTTAAATGAAGACATCACTGTTGCTATTGCAGTCAGTATTTGATAAATAGCAATATTGATGGTGTTTTATACTTCAAAAAAAAAGAAAAAAGTCATTTTTTAATGTGTTTGTTCATAGAAGTATCAGGATGTGTTTTTTTCAGCTGATGTTGCTCTAAATTGTAAAATCTACAACTGATCTCAAAATGATGAAATTAATTCAGTGATGACCAAGCCAAAGAAAGATGTGGTTTTCAAATGTGAACCAACTATTATCACAAAAAGTGTACCTTTTAGTGGTCCAGGATACCATCTTGGATCACATATCCTACTGACAAGATTCTGTTCTCAGTCCCTTTGTAAATATTGTGGATATCCCAGACCAGCTGTATTAAGCATTCTTCCTCTTGCAGTCTAACATCATAAATTCTTATTGAATACAATCTTTTTTGACTATTTGGAGTCAAACCTTTCCATTTCTTATGCTGTCAGCTCTTGTTCCAGGAAACTACTAGGTCCTCTATTCATCATCGAGCCCTGCTCATAAGAATCTTAGAGAATCACAACTAATTCTTTTTTTAGCATGGACACCCCAGCCCTGCATTTGGAAGCATCACACAGTTTAAGCATGTTTCCCCAGCAACACTGTCTTTATTTTAAGTTGCATCCCCAGAAAAGAAGGAGGCTGCCATCCATCCACCCACTTTCAATTCCCTCTAGACATTCTGTCCTTTTATTTTTGGCATCATTTAACTAGTAGGCTTTCCCCAGTTTGAAAAAAGCACCAGAGAAGCTAACATGTGCTTTGTTGAGGCATCTTTATGTCCTAATTTACACACAACTTCCTTGAACACTCATTTCATTGAGGAAATCCTGTCACTGAGCAGCAGTGACTCGTCAATTCAGCTAATGCAAAGAGGGCAGATTATTTCATTCTCCAGGGACGATAACAACAGCAACACACTGGGACTCATTCTGTTGGATAACTCATGGTGCTAGATTGTGCCTAGCACTATTGTTAAATGCACTCCTATGACAGAAGTTATTGGGTCATATCAATTTCTGCTGTTCTGTCAGTGTTGTTGGTGTAGAATAAGGAAAATTAATTTTGCTGCAAACAGAAGGTGGGGAGCTCTGCTTAATAGCTTCTGTCTGTGTTTTATTGTCATACTGTAGTCAGTATGAGGTTAACCTTAAGCTACCACACACAAGTTTCACCTTATCCAACTCCATCTTCCCCCAGGAAAAAATCCCTTTTCTTCACTAGCATTTTACAACTGGGTAAGAGAAGCACATTATTGATTCCATGGTGAAAATAAAGCTGCTTTAAAAAAATGCTTGTTAATGGTATTTTGATACTGAAGTTACTTCAGCACTGCCTTTCAGGGCTGCAGGGAAGATCATGGACTGTAGCAGCATCATTGTTATGTAACAAAATCTCAGCAAATGACTAGAACCTGTCAAGCTAACT